AGTTTTTTTGTCAAGAGTGAAAATCTCTAGTTTTCAATTAAAATTGTCGAATTTGGGCTTAAAAAATTGCAAATAATTCGCTGAGTTCAATGATACTGTCAGTTTTCAGCGATAATCAGAATGAAGCCTAATATAGCCGTTCAAACTCTAGAATTTCGTAGTTTTTTTCACGTCAAAGAGTGAAAATCTCTAGTTTTCAATTAAAATTGTCGAATTTGGGCTTAAAAAATTGCAAATAATTCGCTGAGTTCAATGATACTGTCAGTTTTCAGCGATAATCAGAATGAAGCCTAATATAGCCGTTCAAACTCTAGAATTTCGTAGTTTTTACGTCAAAGAGTGAAAAATCTCTAGTTTTTCAATTAAAAATTGTCGAATTTGGGCTTAAAAAAATTGCAAATAATTCGCTGAGTTCAATGATACTGTCAGTTTTCAGCGATAATCAGAATGAAGCCTAATATAGCCGTTCAAACTCTAGAATTTCGTAGTTTTTACGTCAAGAGTGAAAATCTCTAGTTTTCAATTAAAATTGTCGAATTTGGGCTTAAAAAATTGCAAATAATTCGCTGAGTTCAATGATACTGTCAGTTTTCAGCGATAATCAGAATGAAGCCTAATATAGCCGTTCAAACTCTAGAATTTCGTAGTTTTTACGTCAAGAGTGAAAAATCTCTAGTTTTCAATTAAAAATTGTCGAATTTGGGCTTAAAAAAATTGCAAATAATTCGCTGAGTTCAATGATACTGTCAGTTTTTCAGCGATAATCAGAATGAAGCCTAATATAGCCGTTCAAACTCTAGAATTTCGTAGTTTTTACGTCAAGAGTGAAAAATCTCTAGTTTTCAATTAAAAATTGTCGAATTTGGGCTTAAAAAAATTGCAAATAATTCGCTGAGTTCAATGATACTGTCAGTTTTTCAGCGATAATCAGAATGAAGCCTAATATAGCCGTTCAAACTCTAGAATTTCGTAGTTTTTACGTCAAGAGTGAAAAATCTCTAGTTTTCAATTAAAAATTGTCGAATTTGGGCTTAAAAAAATTGCAAATAATTCGCTGAGTTCAATGATACTGTCAGTTTTTCAGCGATAATCAGAATGAAGCCTAATATAGCCGTTCAAACTCTAGAATTTCGTAGTTTTTACGTCAAGAGTGAAAAATCTCTAGTTTTTCAATTAAAAATTGTCGAATTTAGGCTTAGGCTGCAGGCTTGGCCTGCGCCCTAGTTTAGGAACAGGCGATCAGCAGTGCGATGCGGACGTGCGTGGATAACTTTTTAGTTTCGACATATGTTGTGTAGAATTTTTTTCTGATTAATTTAAAGCTGGCAAAACCGTGTGCCACCGTCCATCCTAGAGAGTTATGAGCCGTCAAAGGTCAAAAAATGGGTTTTTTCAAAAATTCATTTCTAAATGAGTTTTAAAGGTAGAGTAATGAAATTTTCAGATGTAGTGTGTAAAGACTTGGTGTTTTATCTAAAAATAAAATCATTTTGAAAAACATGATTTTTTGACTAATTTTTGCATTTTCAAAATTTTCACTATTTTCGAACTGCCGAAAACCCACAAAAAAACCTGTCAGAGTACTTGTTCAACCTATTTAGGCGGTAGTCCTCATCAATTTCGAGCTATTTAAAAAGTTTATCGAAAAATGTTTATTTACAAAAATTATTAAAATTCGAAAACCCGAAATGGCGATTTTCGCTATTTTTCGACCAAACCGGCTAAAAAGTTATATCAAACGACTCGAAAATGCAATTGTGAGTTCAATAAAATAAAGTTCATCTCAAAAACTCAAAAAGAAAAAATTTTTTCAAGCCAAAAATTTTTGATTTTCGAGTGGGACGAGTTGGGCATGTTAGAGTGAAAAAAATTTATTTTTTTCAGTTTTTCACATATGTTGTAGAGAATTTTTACGCTGATCATTTTAGTTGTAACAAAACCATGTGTAACTTCACTCTCAACAAAGTTATGAGCCGCCAAATGTCAAAAAAATGGGTTTTTCAAAAATTTCATGACTCACCTTAAAAACCCCTGAGAAAAACTTGTCAGGGGCCTTGGCGGGGGTGTAGGGGCAGCCGCCCCACATAACGCAAAACATTAAACAACAACTAATGGAAAAATCTTTATTTACAAAAATTATTAAAAAAATCAAAAATTTGCGAAAAAGACATGAGAACTCCGAAAAACTTGAGAAAAAAATCTTTGAAAAAACTTTTGTTGAAAGTTTTGTTGAAAGAGAAACTTTTGTTGAAAGAAAAACTTTTGTTGAAAGAAAAACTTTTGTTGGAAAAAATTTGAATTTTGTTGGAAAAATGGATAAAAACCAATTGAGGCTAATGTTGACCACGCAAAAGTAGTTCTTCATAATAGGCAACCTTCGGTTGTCAACAAAACTCGGAAAACCCTCGAAAAGCCTGGGTCGAAAGACGACCACAAAAAAAGGGGGCTATTTAGGAATCCTTGGATCAAATTGGACAAAACTGGGAAAAATCAAAAAGCCTGAAAACTTAAAAAAGACGAAATCCAACAAAACTAGGAAAAATCAAAAAAAGCCTGTAAAACTGAAAAAGACGAAATCCAACAAAACTAGGAAAATCAAAAAAAGCCTGTAAAACCAAAAAAGCTCGAATCCAACAAAAACTAGGAAAAATCAAAAACCCCGCGAAAATAGCGTAAAACGCTATTTGACCCTAAATAGCGCGCCTAATTCAGAAAGCCGTCTTTCCTTTACAGGTTATCCCGCGTTTTCTTCTTTTAGAATAGGCGATTTGGTTCGACTTGAGAAAAAGTGATGCGGAATGATTCAAAATGGAGCAAAACGCTTCGAAATGTCTCGAAATGTCTCGAAATGAATCGAAAATGTTTTTGAAATGAATCGAAATTATTATAAATGCCTCGAAATTGCTTGAAACGCTTTGAAATGATTCGAAATGTTTCAAATTGTTTCGAAATTTTTGAAATGACTCGAAATGAATCGAAATAGATTCGACATGCTTCGAAATGCTTCAAAAAGATCCGAGTTGTTTTGAAATGCTTCGAAATAATTCGGAATGGTCCGAATTGCTCGAAAGTGCTTCAGATTGCTCAAAAAATTTCGAAATTGCTCGAAATGTTTTAAAATGAAAGAAAATCGAAATCACACTATGAACCCCCCTCCGACGGCGCGCTATTTAGGGTCAAATAGCGTTTTTACGCTATTTTCGCGGGGTTTTGATTTTTCCTAGTTTTTGTTGGATTCGAGCTTTTTTTGGTTTTTACGAGGCTTTTTTGATTTTCCTAGTTTTGTTGGATTTCGTCTTTTTCAGTTTACAGGCTTTTTGATTTTCCTAGTTTTTGTTGGATTTCGTCTTTTTAAGTTTTCAGGCTTTTTGATTTTTCCCAGTTTTGTCCAATTTGATCCAAGGATTCCTAAATAGCCCCCTCTTTTTGTGGTCGTCTTTCGACCCAGGCTTTTCGAGTGGTTAGGCAGAGGCGCAGGCTTTGACTGCGCCTATTTAGGCTTAGGTTTTTGAAAAATTATGGACGCGTGACGATAGAATTTTTAAAAGTAGGCTCATTCGAAAGAGATTCTAAGACTTTTAAAGACATCAAAAATAGTGTCTCATCCGAGGACTTTTTTGAGATACGGTCGCTTGAAGTTTTAAAATTCAAAAATTCACAGCTTGGCTAAATTGCAACCAATCTTGTTGAAACTTGGTAGAAATATCAATTACAGTACGGGAAACATTTAAAAATATAAAAAGCTAGAAATCTGACCGGAAGGTACTCAAAAATCTGGAAACACACTCGGGGCAAGATTTTCAAAAGTGGTTTTTGCCTCAAAATGATTTTTGAATTTTTAAATTGTTTTCATATTATTTAAAATTAAATTCTGCGTCGAATGATATTTATTAAGATATCACTAAGTCAATTTTTGTGAATTTCGATTTTTCGAAAATTCAAATTTTTCAAATTTTCAATTCAATTGATAACAGTTTGACAAATTTCATAAAATTTGAAATAAATTTTTACATATCTGGTAAAAATCTCAGTAAATAGTTTGAACAGGTATAAGAGTTTTTGCACATTGAATAATTCCGCAATTTTTAAAATACTGAAAACCCGCCAAAAACTTGTCAGGGAGCCTTGGCGGGGGTGTGTGTGCGTTTTTTATTTTCTTCTAATTCAGGTGCATAAGCTTTTTCATGAAACAAAAAGAAATAAGTGCTAGTAAAAATGGACCAGCGGACTTCCCCTCTGCGTCCCACGCCGGGTCAACCGCGTTGCAGGCGTGCGCCCCACGCCGGGTCAACCGCGTTGCAAGCGAGACGCAGACGACAGACTTTGGCGTTCTATCTGTGTGTCTGTTAAGAGCTTAATTATTATTGGTTCATACTTTTTCCTTTCAAGTAATCTTTTGTTAACTTTTTGTTCGTTTCTCAACATTTTCCTGTTAATTCCTCTTTAATGAGACATAATAATTTGAAAAATTGAGCTTAGTTTCTAGACTATATTTAAAATTCGGTCTTTATAATTATAGTATCATATAATTCCATTTTAGAAGCTTGCAGCTTTTTCAGAAAATTCAATTTATTTTATTTGCCTGAGGACTTCTTTTTAAAGGTTTTTCCTGGGAAATCTTTTGAGTAAACATTAGAAAGAGGAGAAAAATTCCAGGACTTACTGAAATAAATTTGACCAGAAACCTAAAATTACACTAGCCCACCAATTTCGAAAAACACTTTTTTGTGTTTCAGCATGAAATTCTGAATAAGCTTTTTCTTTTTTTGAAAAATTGACACAATTTTTGAAATTAAATTTCTGTATTTAAAAATTATTATTTGATTAGTTGGTAAATCAGAGCCCCAGAAAAATCCTCGTCATTTTTTTCAAACATTTTACTCCTATTCTTTTCTACTTCATAAGCTTCAAGCTTTTTCATGAAGCAAAAAGAAATAAGTGCTAGTAAAAATGGACCAGCGAACTTCCCCCTGCGTCCCACGCCGGGTCAACCGCGTTGCATGCGTGCGTCCCACGCCGGGTCAACCGCGTTGCATGCGTGCGTCCCACGCCGGGTCAACCGCGTTGCATGCGAGACGCAGACGACAGACGTTGGCGTCCCTTCTGTGTGTTTGTCAAGAGCTTAATTATTATTGATTCTTACTTCTTCTCTTTGCAATAATACTCGCATTTCTCAACGTTTTTCTCCTGTTCATTTTGCTTTCACTATCTTACTTGAAAAATATAAAATTTTTGAAAAGTTGAACTACATTTTGGAAATCGCGAAAATCTCTACGGTTTTGAAGTAATTATATATTAGAAATTTCTTCAATCGATGTTATATCATATTTTGAAAAAGCCTCAAAAATATGCTATTTTTGTAATGAAAAATATTTTAAGAATTTGAAGTATATTTAAGGAAAATTTTTTAGATAATCTATTATATAGTTTGCTTTCGATTTGTTTAAAAGCTTTTTATCTATATTCTGTCCTTGAATATTTTCTCGACATTCTCAAAAGTATTCGACATTTCAGAAACTTCCAACTTTTTCTTTAAAAATGAAGTTTCAAACTTATGAATCTCTTTATTTGATTTTCCTCTTTTTTGAATTGTTTCTCATCAACGTTGCGTGTTATTTACTAGCGTCATCCAAAAATTTAAATATGAATTCAAATTTTTCAATTTTTAATTTTGTTTGTAGGTGCAAATTTTGAATATTTGAAATTAAAATGAACGGGAGAATTGCTCAATTCTGTTATTTTTTCTAGAAAGTTGAAAAAGTAAAGAATTCATCAGCAACATCCCTGTTTAAAGTTGAAAGTTGGGAAGCTAGGTGTTTCTTTTTAAGAATGAAATCTTTTAGTAAAATTTTTGAACTTAAAAAGTTTAAAAATTATCATTCTTCGTATAATGTTTTATTGAATGATGAATTTTTCAGTTGAATGACGACTTTTTCAAACTATCAATAATGCTTCATATTCTCCGCGCTGATTTGTTTTCGTTGCCCGTAGATGCAATCGTCAATGCTGCAAATAAGAAAGCTGCTTCCAGGTGCTTTTCATCATTTTCTGTATTTATTTCAAAATTTGTTTGTAGGAGGCGGTATCGACGGTTTAATGTCGCAACATTGCGGACCACGTTTACAAAGAAAGCAAAAAATGCTATTGTCATTGGTTTACCAAAAGAGAACTGGACTCAAGTCAAGCTGTTTTGACCAATGCGTTTGATCACACTCTTGCAAAATGTAATTATTATTCATTAGTCATCAAAGTTTGAAACGAAAAAATAATCATCGAATTTCAGATGTTATTCACACTGCTGCTCCACAGTTGATAAGTCATTGGAAACCAAAAAGACTCGACGAACGAGAGCTGCGGTTATGCTATTACAATTGTCTTCTTGTTGCAAAAGAGCAAAATTGCGAAAGTGTTGCTTTTCCAATTCTTGGAGCTGGAATATATCATTGGCCTACTCAAATAGCAACTGCTGTGGCGATTCAAAGTATTTGTGCCTTTTTTGAAATCAATCAAACTGTGAGTCGTTAATTAATTTTATTTATTCACTAAGGAGACTTTTTTAGACGAGTGTGAAAGGCCGTTACTCTTTGTACTTTGTCTGGATCAGTCTTTTGACGAGTGCTTGAATATTACTGCTCAACAGTCGACTATCGATTGCAGTACCAGCGAGAAAGCTCACGAAGCTAGAGCAATTATTGAAAAAAATGCGAGCAACGTGGTGATGCCTTTGAGCCCAGATGTGAAAGTCAAATATTTCGTGAAGAAATGGTCTACACATGCGGAAATAGTGAAGGCTTCGAGAATGTAAATTTTGTTTTCATGATTAAGTTTGTGGTTTAAAAAACTTTCAGGGACGCTTTGACAAACAATGAGTGTGATAGAGCAGTCAGTCCAGTCCAATCCATCAAATCAAGCAATTTTTGGGAAAAGGTTTTTGATTTCATTGCAAACAATTGAAAAAATTTTTTTCAGATGAGCTCTTGCTTCAAGAAGCCTAGAAAAGCTCCAACGAATGGTCCTAGTCCCAAAATGAAGAGGCGTCCGTTGAAATCCCCAGAAGAAAGACGTCGTTATTGGAACGCGTACGAAGAACGTCGAAAGTCTCTGCATACGAAAAGAAAAAAAACTGCGGAAGACATGGAACGCGAAGAACGGCAAAAGAATGAAAACGAACGGATTGAATCACTTTTGGGAAGTGAGAATGTGCGACGAGCGATGTTGAAATCTGTTTCGCGTCCGGAAGCTGAGAAAAAAGCCAATACGCTGATAGTGATGAAAAATGTGCCAGAAATGGTAGCGGCTTTACGAGAACCCTACTTTGGTTATATCACCAAATTTTTGGGAGAAGAAAGTATCTCAACGTTGGAAGTAGATCTTTTCTTCAAAATGTTACAAGACATTTTGAGGTAAAATTTTTGATTATTAAACCTTTTTAATAACTTTTTTTTTCAGATGTGAGCATCTTCTCAAAATCATCGAAGGATTCATGTCAAAGATAAAAGAACACATTCGCTCTATTCTGACTCAACGAGTTATTTGTCCGGACAAGTCTGACCTACAATTGAAAAAACTTCGACAACTTCTACGAATGCGTTATCATGTTTGGGATGAAACACAATCTAGTGAAGGATTCCAAACCATGAACAATCTTTATCCCATTCTCTGGCGAGAGTTTGTTGGTGAAAAAACAACGGAGCAAGAAGATCAAGGTAATTTAAACGAGTAAAAAAAAAATATTTCTAGCTTTTAAAAAAATACAATAATGAGTATGAAAAATATGTAGAAAATATGAAAAAAATTTTCAGATGGAAAAGTCGTCAATGATATTGGTCTACGTCTCGAAATTCCCGAAATTGAACAAGTTGATGAGGATCGTTTGCCCGCTGGCGATGCAAGCCAACAACAAGTTGTACCCGAGGAAATTGTGGAGCTTCCTGATGATTTTGATGCTGAGAAGTTGGACATCGAAAAGGATGATGTTGATTTGGTGAGACAGAAATTAAAATTAAATTGAACTTTTTAAAATTATTTTTAGCTCCTTGATGTTGCTGTCGCTGATTTGAATCCTGAAGTTGAGCTTAACATGGAAGCGTTGAGAATTTTGAGGAGTTTGACCCATATCAAGCGATGCTCGCAAAACTGTGAAGAGCCCTCCAAAAAGTTAGTTTTTCTTTTCTCCTATCAACAGTCGTTTTTCTTATTTTAAGAAAAATTTGAAAAATTTCATCAGTATCATTTCGTATTTCATTCTAATTGATTTTTCACTGTTGATTATTTTGAATGATTAATCTGAAATGTTTCAGACATGCCGCCCTTGTTTACGACCGGCTTATGATGTTCGCAAAATCCTCTGATTGCGATGAAGAAAAATATTGGACGTTTGCTGGATGATGGAATCGTTGAAAACTTCATTTTGGACAATCAATTGTGTTATGCTGGAGCAAGATCGATGGAAAAACGCCTGAAGAACCTTCGAATTCTTTATAGTCTTCGTGAAAAACTGAAGGAATGCTTGGAAAAGGGATCTCATAAGGTTTTGTTTTCTAAAAATTTAAAGAAAAAAAGAGAAAAATAGCAACCGTAATTTTTACTGAATGCAAATATTTTTCAAAATGAGGTGAAACTTTGAACTTAGGATTTCAAAAATCAAAGTGTTAAATGATATTAACTAAATAACATTGAAATTTAGAAAAATATTACGAAATTGAAGGGATAAAATTATTAAGGAGAGAATCATGAGTTAATTTTTAAAAAAACAAGTTTTAAATAAACAAGAAGCGAATTTTGTTTAGAAAAAAACAACTTTTTCAGCTGATTCATGAAGCTTTGTCGATGAGAGATACTCCTTCATACGTTCGAATGGAATTCGCAAGAACGTTCAAAACACATCAAGACACTTCGCGACATACCCAGTTCATGGCAGAGCACAGATGTGATTTTGTTCGCAAAAGATTCTTGGAGCGTATGACGGTACAAGAAACTGAAGTCTGTGAGCTTTGCAATCAAATCACAGCTTCGAATGACATGGCAAAAGTTTCAAAGAAAATTGAAACAGTGAAAAAAAAGTTACTTTCAGCGAAATTTGGAGACTCTGCATCATGCACTCAGCGAAAGACAGAAAGAAGTTTTCCAAACTCGGACTCAATTGAACGTTTGCCGAAGCTGTACAAGAGTTATGCCACATCAACGAAAAAAATGTGAGTTATGATACTTATTTGAGAAAGGATATAGTGTGATATTATGAAAAATTTTAAAATTTAAAAGAAAAACTTGAAAATTTCAAAGGTGAGCTCAAGAAGTCTTAAAAAAATTCAGAATTTCGAGCAATAATTTTCTAGAACTTTTTAGAAAAAAATAATTAGAATTTGTGAAAAATCATTTTTTTATTCATATGATATCTCTTATAGAATGCCTGCACATTGTGAAGCCAACGGATTATTATGCGAAGAAACCCCAGAAGAACTTCAAGGTCTCAACTGGCTTGAACTTGTCCTTATTCAAAGATATCGGCCAATTCAAAAAATTGTCGAGCTTCGAGATATTGGAGGACGAAAAACTGGCGTCAAGGCAACGACAGGAGTCATGATCGTTGTGCCCGTACCTTTGGAATCCACAATAAGTCACGTCGCGAATACTTTGCCTTCGGACTCTCATCTCCAGTTATTTGTAACGACTCGCTTTGGAGCTGAAAAAATTGTCCGTCTTCCGAGAGTTTTGAAAGCGCTGAACTGGCTCAAACAAAATAATCACTTCTACAAGGACATTGAAATAAACCAGCAATTCTCCTTTGATGGTGATCGGGTTTCATTCGCTAAAGACGTCGTGAACAAGGATCTCAACGTACTTCTTTCTTCCGACGACGGTCATCTACTCACACAAGAAAATACTGAATTTCAAATAGTCCGCCATGTAAATCCGCCGCCAGTCGAGGGTTTCGCCATCGACAATTATCGACTACGAAGTCATCTTTATATGCCCATTTCGAGCGATGACAACGAAGTTGAACCCAACGCTTTTCCACACTTGTTTCCATCGGGGCACTACCATCTTGGTGACGAAAGGGAAATCAAGCTGAACTTGTCAAAGTACATTCATCATCAACTTCGTCAAGCAAATCCCAAATTTTGTTTGGATCCCAACTACCTTGCATTTCAGTATGCGAAGAGAATGCAAACGGTCAGTTGAAAAACAAAATTTTTTAGATAAAATCATGAGAAATTTCATTTAGGATTTATTCAACAGTATGGGAACGCAAGCTCGTATTTCGCGGAATACGACGAAACAAGACCTGATGGGAATATTGAACGATGAGCGTTTTTCCGCCTCAATGAATAGCATGTTCGAGGAAATGCGTGGTTTTGGACCCTATTGGAATAAAAGGTAATTTTTCAAGACTTTTTTTGGGTATTTTAAAAAATTCCAATTTCTTCAAGAAAATTGGAACTTCGCGCTCATATTGAAGCTTTCGGATCGCCGACGTGGTTTGTAACTCTGAATCCGGCTGAGCAACATTGGAAAGACGTTAGTTTTTCTCAATTATTTCCATTTTCAACTTATTTTTAAATTCAGGTTCTTCAAATTTACCAGCGGTTTTATCCAGAAACAACGTCGGAAAATATAAGAGAGGCCATTGCAAAAGATAGCTCACACTGGTGCCGTTATTTTCGTCGCCGCATGAATGCCTTTTTTAGCGAAGTGAGTGGAATTTTGGAGGTTAAAACCAATATTTTGTATCAGGTGCTGTTTAACGACAACGGACCGCTGGGAAAAGTCCTCCATTATTTTTGGAGGGTCGAGTACCAGCACCGGGGAACACAACATATTCATTGCGTTCTGTGGACAGCTGATCGCCCTTCGCCTGACGCTAGTCCTCAAGAAATAGCTGAGTTTTTGGACAAATATGTCACAGCTCGAATGCCGGATGAAAAAACTGAGACAGAGTTGTACAATATAATCAAAGAGCATCAGGTTTCATCTTGATTTGTTTGAGAAAACTTAATTTTTGAATTAAGCTTCATTGGAAACGACATTCTAAGACGTGTTTACGTACGAAGAAACGCCGAGGGCGAATCACACAGACTTGTCGGTAAGTTGAGCAACGAAAATTAGGAAACATGAAATTTTTGGAAAATAGGAACATGAAATATTTTAGGTTCGAATTTCCACGGCCAGTTCTCGGACACACTGTTGTTGCTGGAGTTTCAAAAAATTTGGCTGGCTTACCCGGAGTCAGCAGAAAACAGTATCATTTGATGCGACGCGAATGTGATACAGTAAGAAAGCTGAAATTTTAAAAAGTCCTTGACAAAATTTTTTTTTTAGATGGTGAACGACTACAATGCAGAGCTATCTCTTATCTGGCAGGCGAACACTGATGTACAGTTCATCATGGGAGGAATAACCGAAGTCACCGATTACGTTACCGGTTATGCGTCAAAAGCTGAAAAGGCCCGAGGAACTTGCCTTTTCGACATGAAACCAGAGGACATGAACAATAAAACAATGTTCAAAACTATGATAGATTTGTTGAGGCAAAAGGTTTGCTATGAAGACTTTATATTTTTTTTTTTCTTTGGCGCCTCTCTACGTCTTTTGTAGTAGTATTGTGATTAGAAAAAAATGGAAATCAAATACAGATAAAAAAAGTCTCTAAAGTAAAACATTAAGTTGAAAATGAAATTTTTTTATTTGAATAATAGAAAAAAATTAGGAATAAAAACTACATTATATTTCACACTACAAAAAAAAATAATAGAAAACGGATGATGAAAATCGAACAAAAAAAAACTTAGAAAAAATATTGTGAATAAATGAAACTTTTTAAAGGAAACTGGTACTCTGGAAATGCATGACATCTTTGCGGGCCACAACCTTTTTCGGTTTCAATTCTGGCCATGAATTCGTGAATATAAACGAAGATGCAAAACGAAATCGTCAACTTCGACCAGCTGATCAACTCAAAGTCAATACACAAATGCCGGCTTATGTGGATAACTTGGTTGACACTTATTATCCGAATAGACCAGAAGCTCTTGAGGTGAGAGAATATTCACACTTTGTGAAAAAAAGCCAAAAAATAAATTTTGAGCGAAGAAGAGATCAAACTTCTATTCAGTTCTTCTTTTTTCAGAATTTCTCATTGATGACGATTGCATTGAACTTTGAAGTCGTCGCGAAATCTGAAGCGATGAAGAAAGGACTCAATGCCGTTTTTTTGACAAGTGATGAATTGCTGGAACAACTTCAACAACCAAAAATCAATGCAAATCGTGGCCAATCTGTTTATTACGGGTTCAAAGAAGTCAGGTGAGTATTAAAATGAATGAAACGAAAAAAAAATGCTCATTAAAAAGATAATTATTTTCAATTATTCAGTGATCCCTTGTCCCCGTGGTTTTGTTTCCCTTCAATTTCCACTGGAACCTGCATCTCATTCGAATACGGTCACGAAGGAAGTAATGTGAAATATTTGAAATACTTCCGGAAAAAAAAACAACAGGTTTTTAAAAAGATTGCAGTTTTGTTCACAATAAAGTTTATTTGAATCATTTAGGTTTTACGGACTTTCCTTCCGGACATTATTGGTGATGTCGGCTCTGTTCGAGACTTCTTTCGTCGTGTTCTTATGCTTTTTTCTCCATGGAGGGAAGAACCACCGGTTTTTTCGACCTCTGAAGAAGCTCTTGCGTCCTACGATAAGTGAGTAAAAATTAGTTAAATTGAAAATGAAGAAATTAAGATTATCTCAAAAATTAAAAAAACTCTGAGTTTCTTTTTTCTGACTTTTTAATTATTTTTCTGATTATTTATCAGTCGATTATTGTGTTTCAAAAAAATGAAGGAGAGCCTTTTATACGGCTGAAACGCGTTTTTTTATTTACTTATAGAGGTAAAAAGAGGCTAATTTTAAAGATGCTAAATTAAGTTATTGAACAAAATTTTTTTAATTGTTCTCTGAAAAGTGAGTGAGAAAGCCCAAAGGTTCCAGAAATAAAAATTAAAAAAATCCAGGTTCAAAAATAGTTTTCGTGAGTTTTCAAATTGAAAAAGAAGTTCAATAATAGCTCAAAAAAATCCTTGAAGTTGTTATCAATAGAAAGTTTTTACGTTTTTGGTAGAGTTAATAGGTAAAATTTTGATTTTAATCAAAGAAGTCTTATAGTTTCATTTTTTTATTGCACAATTATTTCAACAGCAGCTGATAGAGGCGAAAAATAGTATGCGTGGGTTTTTCGAAGACCCAATATCTATTCATAGGAACCCATTTTTGGTCTTATAGTTTTGTCACACTCCGTATAAAAAAATTTTTGTTTGACCTAAAAAAACTGGGCACCATAATTTTTTTCTTTTTTTAAAGATTTATCGACACGTTGAAAGCGAAAAAGTGAAGGAGCTGCTGATGATATCACGTCTTACATCGCCAAGATAAAAAGACGGAAAGCGAGAAAGTAGAGAGAAAACGCGAAAAAAATGGGCTCGTCTTCGAGTAAGTTATCTATGTTGTTTTAAAGTTATGAGATATAATTTTATCATCACTTTTTTTCATTTATCAGAAAGCCATACAAGAGGCTAATTGCCAACAGTTTGATGATGAAGATGAAGAAGATGGTGAACTAAAAGAAAAAGGAAAAGTGCCAGTGAGAACAGTCGACGATGAATCCTTCGAACGCAATTTAAAGTCAATGAGCGATGAGCAACTCCAGATTTATGATGAAATCATTGGAGGAATTCGTGAGCAAGTTTCCTCCCAAAAAGATGTATGTTTTTTCTCAAAGTTTAATTTTTTTAGACTTAAAAATAAAGGAAAAAGTAAGTAAGGTTTATCCAAACGGAATAAGTTTCAAATTTTTTTAAACCGAAAAAGATTTCTTATGAGGCATGATTAATTTAATGTTATCAATATAGTTTATTCATAATGACAATCAAGATGAAATAAAGAAAAGTTTCTTTTTACAAAAATTTATTTATTTTTTTGATCAGAAAAAAATTTTTTCAAATAATTAAAAATTTTGAACAAGTTAATATTTTCAGGTCTTCAAGAGAAAACAAATCTTGAAGTTTGTCTCCGGAACAGCGGGGACTGGAAAATCTTTCCTTATCAATATGTTGGCTGATAAGTTAACAAGAGACTATACAAAGGAAGATAGCGCCGCAATCCATCCAGCTGTTCTAATCATTGCTCCGACTGGTTTGGCAGCTTTAAACATTAAAGGCAACACAATTCACAGTCTGTTCAAAATTGAAGTGAGTTACAGTTTCCATTAGTATATCCGATTAGTGAAACTTAAGCAGATCTGAAGAAAATCAACATTCATTATTATTTAAAAATTTTTCTTTACGATTATTTGATTAAAAATGAATTAACATTAATGCGAAAGAAAAAAAAAAATTTAGAAGCAAAAAGAAAGGAAAAATCTATTTGTTTATTGAAAGCATTAGTCAAATTTTAGTTAAATTTTTTTAATCTTCAAATTGGGAATTGTTTTTTTCAGGTTCAAAGAGGGAAGGCTCTTGAATTCAAAGTGGCTCAATTTGACGACACTGGAGAAACTCGTGAACTATTTCGTAGAGTGAAGTTGATCATCATTGATGAAATAAGCATGTGCGCCAATTGGATGCTGATCAAAATCCATTTGCGGTTACAATCTATCAAAGGGAATCAAGAAGTTTTCGGCGGCGTCAATATCATTGCTCTGGGGGATTTGATGCAACTTCGTCCGGTGAACGCTGGTCGAGTATTCGAAGTCGTCAGTAGTCGACAAGTGGCTGAAATCTTCGGAAGTATCGGTCCTCCATTGACTCTCTGGTGGCTCTTCTCGTACAGCGAATTGACGACGAATATGCGACAAAAGAAGGATAAATCGTTCGGCGAAATAATGAGCAGAATGAGGATTGAACAGCTGACTGCGGACGACGTTACGATGATCAAAACACGGCTTATCAACGCGATTGAGAGAGGCTACGAAGAACCTTGTACTATAGAAGAAGCCGCTGAGTACTATTTGAAGTTACTCGAGAAAGATCCTACCGCGATGGCTTTGATGCCAACAAACAATGATGTCATCCAGTTCAATGATGCAGTCGTCGAGAAGCTTGGCATGAAAACAATCGTGATTGTCGCTGAAGACGTCGAAGAAAAGTCCGCCATCGAAGGTGTGCTCGAAGGAGAATCAGGCGCTGATCGTCAACGTCGAGAGAGAATTTATCAAAAAAAAGAATTTTCGATTATTGAAAAAGTTTTACCTCTTTTTATTTGCTTTCTTTTAAATCTTAACTTTTACAGACAAGTCGAAAAGCAACAACTTTGAAGCCAAAAATGGACGAGAAAGATCCGATGGGAAAGAATACTGGTGGACTGGTTGCGAAGCTCATTCTAGCGAAGAACGCTCGTGTTATGTTGAGACGAAATTTGGACGTGGCTCAAGGTTTTTTTAATGTTATCATTGAAAAATATTTTCAAATCAACTTCAAATTAGTTTCTCAATATTTTTTTGCAGGACTAGTGAATGGAAGTCAAGGTTATCTGAGAACAATTTATGAAAAAGGACAATCGAAAGAAGTGGTTGCTCTGGGCGTTGTTTTCGACGGAAAAAACGTTGAAACAAAAATAACCAAAGTTACTGCGGTTTTCAATGTGAGCGGACAAGAAAGAAGACGTCGAACACAATTTCCTCTCATGATAGCCTATGCTGCCACTATTCATAAGTCACAAGGTAACATGAATATAAATATGTACACTAAATACATTTAAATGCTAAACAAAAATTTTTTTTCCAATGACTTTTAAACGAAAATTAATTTTTTCCAGGAATGACTCTGAAAAACGCCGTCATATCAACACGATCCATGTTTTGCGCAGGACAGGCGTTTGTAGCGTTTAGTCGAGTTCGCTCTTTGGATGGATTGCATCTGATGGACTTTTTCTCTCAAAAAGTCTATTGTGACGATGAAGCTCTCAAAGAAACCAATCGACTGCGACTGTCTGTGAATTTGCCTGTGTTCGAAATGCCCGTCAGAGCCGCGAAAAAACCAACAAAACTTCCTCCTATAACTGCTCTGCGAAAAAGAAAAGGTTAGTAGAACATATGAAAAAATTAGTTCATTTAGCCTGAGCCTTCATTTATTTTTTTAAAAAACATTGAAAAATAATCAAAAAAATGTGAAGGTTTCGAAGACTGTTTTTTTGAGATATTTCTTTTTAATTCTGTTCTTATTTATGGACAGAAAATACCATCATACTTTTAGATGTACCAGATCTTGTCATCAGAGTCGGCAGTCCCGGCAACTCACCGCAAAAGAAGTTGGCAAAAAAATTCAACTGCTCAAATTCAGAGAGAGCAAAAAAATGGCTGAAGGTTCAATTTTTTTCTTTTTCTTAACTTTTTATAATTTTCAATTTTAATTCAAGGTCTCACTTTATTCAACGAATCGGGAACGGACTGTTTTGTCAATTCTGTTGTGAACTTATTGCATTGCTCAAAGCAATTGACTGACAAAATCGTGGAAATGGGAATTGAAGCGGCGGCAGACCGAGATGCATCAATTGCCGACGACACTGAAGAGCCTCTTTTAGTGAGCTTGAAAGACATTCTAGTCCGTCATACAACTTCTGTGGCACGGCTTCGTACAAAACTTCACCCGGATCGACGCAATCACACTGGCGATGTGAAAGAAGCTTACATGGATATTTTCACGGTATCGAATTGAAATTCCGATTTAAATATTTATATCTTCATTCATTTTCAGTTGTTACCAGAACAAATCCAGGACTTGTTTCGTTTTACCATAACTACATCTGTTTCTTGTGAAGGATGTCGTTCAAATCAAGCAATCGTTGTTACTCAAAGAGTTGTGGATCGAATTGAAATGTTTTTTTCTACGGCGGAAGTCTTGAAGAAGAATTTCAAAGGCATATTGAGGTTTGAAAGAAAGAATGTTAATGTGAAAAAAATTCCCTTGTTTTATCAACAAAAAAAGTAAGCATATATACTGTTTTTTTAAAGTTTTATCAAAAATATATCTATATTCAAAATGAAAGAAGTAGCAATTTTTTTCAGTCCCTTTCGCCTGCTTGTGCTTGTGGGCGACAACCTTCTGTTTCATGCGAAATCAGAATACCTTCAGGTTTGAATTACATAGAAATCTTCAAATGAACAAAAAACTAAACAAACTGCATTTAGACTCAAAATATGTTGTCTTCAATCTCAACATGAATGTCAACAATCCACCTTGCTGGAGAGAAGCCAATCGCGCTCTTCTAGGTAAATTTTTTAGAATTATTGGAAAAAAAAGATTTCACAAAAGATTCAATATAATTGTTATTTTGATTTCAGATTTTCTATGGAAATCGTCTCGAACTTCGAGGAGCAATTCAATTTATCCCTGGTGGTCAAGGTCACTACATTTGCTGGAAGAGGCTTTCGAATGACAACTTTCTGAAGCTCAACGACAGGCATATCAGTTTGGAGCGGAAAATTCCCAATGAAGGGCGAAATTTCGTTATGATTCTTTATGAACGGCATCAGGCAGTTCCTGCTATTCCAAATGTTCCTGAAGAAATGGAAGTTGTAGAATTGGAGTAGTTGTATATTTATTTTTAAACATTTGTATATACTTCATTCGAAAAACGTTGTGATTTTGATGGATTGGATAGGATAGATTTTCAAATTTTTCAGAAAGTTTTTTTCTGCTTTGTCCTTTTGTTTCTTTCATTGTTTAGATCATATAATCATTTGCTGATTCGATCAATGACTTTTCCGAATGTAAGAAAAAAATAATTACGCTTATTTCTTCAAAACTTCGACTATTTAATCGAATTTTCATAATGTTCTTGTTTGTTATGAACTTTTTATTATTTGTGTGAAAAAAATTTATCATCTATTTGTGTTATGTTCTTTCAACGATATCAACGTTTAACCGTCATATTTTGAATTTGAAATATACCTCAATTTTTACAGGTTTACAGAACTTTCAGAATGAAACTGGGTGTTCTTGGCATCTTTTTTCTCCTTTTAACTTCGGGCTTCCTTACCTATCTATTTTAATTATATCAGACTTTGCGTAATGAAAATTTTGTTTGAATTTATGGAAATCTCATAAAGTTTTCTTTTTTTCTGGCAACCTTCGGTTGCCAACAAAAGTCGGGAAACCCTAGGACCTCGTTGGGCCGATGGACCGGCCACAAAATGCAGCATATTTAGTCTTAGGCATTTAATTAAGCCTAAGACTTTAGCTTAACCTATTATCCCAAGCCTAAAAACCCGAAAAAGCCCCCATCCCTAAGCCCAACAAAAGTTAGAAAAATCAAAAGAACCTAACAAAAGTTGGAAAAAAAGGAAAAACCTAAAAAAACCCGAAAAAGCCCCCCATCCTAAGCCCAACAAAAAGTTAGTAAAATCAAAAATCCTGACAAAAAAGTGAGAAAAAAAGGAAAACCTAAAAACCTGAAAAGCACCCATCCTAAGCCCAACAAAAATTAGAAAATCAAAAAACCTGACAAAAGTGAGAAAAAAGGAAAACCTAAAAACCCGAAAAGTCCCACTCCTGAGCCCAACAAAAGTTAGGAAATTCAAAACACCAAATTGGGTGCGTAAACGCACCGAAGCCTAAATAGCGCGCCGAAAAAGGGGAGAAGCTGAAATGGGCGTTCCGCTTGTTATCGCTCGGATTTTGCACAAATTCAAATTTTGAAACTTTTCGATTTATTTTTGAAACATCTCGGAACATTTCGATTCATTTCCGAGCATGTTTGAGCATTATGAAACATTTCGATCAATTTCGGAACGTTTTCTCTTGAGCATTTCGAAAAGTTTTAAAATATTTCGATTCATTTCGAAACATTTCGGAACATTTCGGAACATTTCGAAACATTACAATACATTTCGAAACATTTCGGAACATTTTGAGTCATTTCGCAACGTTTCAATTCATTTCGAAACATTGCGAAACATTTTGAAACATTTCGAAACATTTCGAAACATCTCAATTCATTTCGAAACATTTCGAATTATTTCGCAACATCTTAATTCATTTCGAAACATTTCGAAACATTTCGGAACATTTCAAAGCATGTAGAACATTTCGAAACATTTCGAAACATTTCAAGTCATTTCAAATCATTTCGAAACATTTCGAATTATTTCGCAACATCTTAATTCATTTCGAAACATTTCGAAACATTTCGCAACATCTCAATTCATTTCGAAACTTTTCGAATTATTTCGCAACATCTTAATTCATTTCGAAACATTTCGAAACATTTCGGAACATTTCAAAGCATGTAGAACATTTCGAAACATTTCGAAACATTTCAAGTCATTTCAAATCATTTCGAAACATTTCGAATTATTTCGCAACATCTTAATTCATTTCGAAACATTTCGAAACATTTCGCAACATCTCAATTCATTTCGAAACTTTTCGAATTATTTCGCAACATCTTAATTCATTTCGAAACATTTCGAAACATTTCGGAACATTTCAAAGCATGTAGAACATTTCGAAACATTTCGATTTTTTTTCGAACAATTTCAGTACATTATGGCGTTTATGCATATGGTGACCAAGTAAAACGAGAGGAAAAAGGCGCGCTATTTAGGCTTCGGTGCGTTTACGCACCCAATTTGGTGTTTTGAATTTCCTAACTTTTGTTGGGCTCAGGAGTGGGACTTTTCGGGTTTTTAGGTTTTCCTTTTTTCTCACTTTTGTCAGGTTTTTTGATTTTCTAATTTTTGTTGGGCTTAGGATGGGTGCTTTTCAGGTTTTTAGGTTTTCCTTTTTTCTCACTTTTGTCAGGATTTTTGATTTACTAACTTTTGTTGGGCTTAGGATGGGGGCTTTTCGGGTTTTTAGGTTTTCCTTTTTTCTCACTTTTGTCAGGTTTTTTGATTTTCTAACTTTTGTTGGGCTTAGGATGGGGGCTTTTCGGGTTTTTAGGCTTGGGATAATAGGTTAAGCTAAAGTCTTAGGCTTAATTAAATGCCTAAGACTAAATATGCTGCATTTTGTGGCCGGTCCATCGGCCCAACGAGGTCCTAGGGTTAGGCGCAGGCTTGCGACCGTAAGGTCGCGAGACTGCGCCATTTGGGGTTAGGCTCCACTGAAATTTGCTAATTTACCATAGCCTAGGGTCCGATTTAAGCTCTCCGTGGATGGATCGGGCTGAAATTTTGGCTACAAAATTGTGACAACCTGAAAAGACTAAGCACGGCGATTCGGAGTCGTTTGGACTTTCCGTCGCGGAATTACGGACGGTCAAAGTTCCGAAAAAACCGTGAGTGACGAAAATGTGTAACGCTTTCTGGTTCGGTACTTCTCGGCCGCAGGCAAATTTTTGCATTTTTTTTATCAGTTTTTTTTGTTATCAGCTGATAGAGGGGGTTGAGATCTACAATCCTGATATGATATCATCATCCTTATCACTGATTAAACCATGTTTCCCAGGCGTTTGAAAATTTCAGTGGAAAAATATTTTCCACTGGTCGCGGAACTCAGTGGAAAAATATTTTCCACTGGTTTTTCGCGTCGAGAATCCGGTAGTATAGTATTTTTTCAGGTTTTTGCTATCATCTGATAGAGGGATTGAGATCTACAATCCTGATATGAAAAACATCATCCTTATCACTGATTAAACATGTTTTTCCCAGGCGTTTGAAAAATTTCAGTGGAAAAATATTTTTCCACTGGTCATGGAACTCAGTGGAAAAATATTTTCCACTGGTTTTTCCCGCGTCGAGAATCTCGGTGGTATGCTTTTTTTCAGTTTTTGCTTTCATCTGATAGAGGGGATTGAGATCTACAATCCTGATATGATACCATCATCCTTATCACTGATTAAACATGTTTTCCCAGGCGTTTGAAAATTTCAGTGGAAAATATTTTTCCACTGGTCGCTGGAACTCAGTGGAAAATATTTTCCACTGGTTTTTCCGTGTCGAGAATTTCAGTGGTAAGTATTTTTTTCAGTTTTTGCTTTCAGCTGATAGAGGGGGTTCATATCTACAGTCCTGATGTGATATCATCATGCTTATCACTGATTAAACATTTTTTTCCCAGGCGTTTGAAAATTTCAGTGGAAAAATATTTCCCACTGGTCGCGGAACTCAGTGGGAAATATTTTACCAGTGGGAAATATTTTTCCACTGATTTTTCCGCGTCAAGATTTCAGTGGAAAATATTTCCCACTGGAAAATATTTCCCACTGGAGAATAATTTCCACTGATTTTTTTCCGCGTCCAGATTTCAGTGGGAAATATTTCCCCTGGAGAATATTTTTCCACTGGATCCTGGCTCTAAAAAAATTTTTCTTTGTCCGCTTTCAGAAATCCAGTGGGAAAATATTTACCAGTGGGAAATATTTTCCACTGATTTTCCGCGTCAAGATTTCAGTGGAAAATATTTCCCACTGGAAAATATTTCCCACTGGAGAATAATTTCCACTGATTTTTCGCGTCGAGATTTCAGTGGGAAATATTTCCCAGTGGAAAATATTTCCCACTGGAGAATATTTTTCACTGGATCCTGACTCAAAAAATTTTTTTTGTCCGCTTTGAAAAATCCAATGGAGAATATTTTCTAGTGGAAAATTGTGTTTTGCCTCATGCACTGAGAAATACTTTCCTTTTTCTTCCCGCGTCAAAAATCCAGTGCAAGATACTTCCCTATGAAAAAGATTTTTTAGTGGATCTAATTTAGAAAAAAATTAGAAAAATTACCATTCTCAGAAGTCAAGTGGAATATATATCTCAGTGGACTTGGAAACGTTTTTCTTTGTGTCAGAATATTTCCCAGTGGAAGATATTTACCACTGGAACCTAGTTGGAAAAATTGGTTTTCCACTGCCGAAAAATTTAATTAAAAACATTTCTCAGTGTAGAACAGTTTATGAGCTGAACCCTCCGGGTTTTTGACGAGTTTCAAAGGAGCATAGAGTTTTTTTGCACTACAGTAGGAATGCTATTCGCTACGAGACTCTTTGATTAATTCCAGACGAGAGGTTTGTGATTTTTTTGATTGAAAAAAATATTTGCCAGTGGAGAATATTTTTCCACTCAGCTGAACTGACTTCAAAAATGCCTAGATATTTCGAACTACAGTAGGAATGCTTCATTCGCCTTGAGACTTTTTCATTTAGTTCTAGACAAGAGATTTGTGTTTTTCGAGCGGAGAATATTTGATAGTGTTAAATAATTTCCGTTGAATTAGTGTTCGAAAA